TCCTGTCGTCATAAAAAAATCTATAATCTTTTTGCTTCGTGTACGTAACCAGTGATCAGTGAGCGCACCAGTTAGTAGTCTTTGTGGTAAAGATTTATAAAGAAACCTATAGCCTTTCCACTGACTTCAGGTAAAACATATTTGTTGTGTCTGTAGTTATCGTGATTGCGTCATATATTATTTTGAAAAGTTATAAAGTAGTATTTGGAGATTCAAATCATTTTTAATTGCTTAATCTCAACTTTAAACTTAACTGCTAACTTAACTTTTATCGTAAATCAAAAAGTGTTGCTGTTTATACGCAATCGAACAAATTTGAATCACTCAGATTTTTTTACCATAAAGTCTCTCTTCAAGTGAAACGGTTTTAAAGTTTTTAGAAAATTTAATTGATTTTAAGTGTTACATTTCAATCTTGAAAATGTATTTTCGCTAAATGCAAAAAACCTAAAAAGTTTCCAAACAACGAAAAAGTGCGTTTCCTTTGAAGTAGTACTCTTCAAAGCGCAAAGGAAACAGCAATTTTTTTCCAACAATTCCAATTTTAGTGCCACCTTTGTCATTTTTTGTGCCACCAACGCAAAAATAGTCAAACTCAATCAACAAAAAATATCAGTTTCAATAGCAATGCACAGCTCCCTTATATCTACGTTCCACTTCAAAATGCATCTAAAGGAACTAAAGGAACTTAAGTCCCTTTAGCTTCCTTTTTTTTTGTTTTTGGATTTTATAAATTTTTGTTACCAAAAGTCATAATATTTTTGCTCTGCTGTTTACTGCTACTACTAGTGCTCCGGTGCTCCGGCGCTACGGTGCTACTCACTGTTGACTATTTCGATTTACACTTAAGAGTCTGTGCGTCAGCGGATTTTTACAGCACATATATTTTTCACTTCATCATCGAACAAGGCAAACGCTTCCTTTCATATCGTTCCCATAGCAACTGCGTGGATGAAAAGAACAACGCCGAATTCAGTGAACCAAAGTGGCGTCACTGCCATGGCTACGGCTATGACTGATATGGCTTCCGCCATTGAATATGTGTTAGTTCGGTATTAGCAACATAATTGCTTACAGTACAAAACTTTTTTTAATAAAAAAAATAAAAACAAACAAAAAAATAAACATAAAAAAATTTCAAAACAAACTGAAAAGCTTTAAATCTAGAATCACTCAGAAGCTATGATAAATATTTGTGGGAACATTGGGTGTAGCTAAAAAATACTTCAAAAATTTTGAGTTACTCCTGTACTCGCTCTCGCTACCCGTTACCCGCTACCCGACACCCGTGCTAATGCTGCCACTAAGTTCCTAGCCAAAAATTGTTTGAATTGCTTCTCAATACAGCAACCAACCAAATCGTACCTTATTTAGTGCAACCATTTTTTGTTTGTTGTTCCCGCAATTGTTGTTGTTTTCATAACCAAACTTGTGTTAGAGTCGGTACCCGTGCCCCTGCCCCTGCCTGGTTGTTGCTTCAACAGAAGTTTAGGGTTAACTGGGTTTCTCTGTATGTTAAACACTGCTGCCAATACTGCGATGTTCATAATTGTGGTAACCGCAGAAATGCTTTTCCATTCGAAAAGCGAATACTCTACTCGTACAGAAAGTACACAAAAGCATTGCCAATAGGAGTAAAAATTTTAGAAAAATATTGCGGTGGGTGTTGAGTGGTGAGTGGTGGCCGATGGCTTCGTGGTGGTCGGCTACTAACTCAACGGAAGTTTAAAAGTTTTCTTGGAATTTTGGAATTGTTTTAAGTGCGTACCGGAATCGTTGCTATGTAAGTAACGATATGAATAACACCTGTACTGCATACAGTACAGTCGTCTTGGTGCGCAGTAACTTATTTGTTTTGGATGAAATGGTCTTTCATTTCCGCGTCACTTACTCTGCCCTCCACTCACTTACTCCAATCCCCACTCAAATTGCGCTAATCCATTGGCGTTTGGAATACTTAGCCTTACTTTATTCGACAATTCGTTTGTTTAGCGTTTCTTTGGCGTAAGCGGATTGCACTATTTCCAACTGTTCGAATGCTGCAAATCTAAAATCTCTAATCTATGGTTGAGGTTTTAGTGGTTTATGATGTCTGTTTTACAGTTTCACTTTGTTTTCAATTTTGCTAACCCAGCAGCCTCGTACTGTGTACTTCTCTTCTATATCCTATTCCCTGCATATAACAAATAACCCGAGTCATTTAACCCTTCTCGATACCATTTCGTTGTTTTGCAATTGTGTGGTGCGGTGCGGTGCGGTGCAGTGCGTTGCTTATTGTACACTTGACTCTGTTGTTGTTGCTTAATATTTGCTGTTTTTTAGTTGAGTGCCAGCGCCAAAGTTAAAAACAAACAAACAAATAAAGTCGGTAAACAGAAGCTTCCTGGAAAATAGGACATCGACTTAAATCAACTTCACTTAACTCTTAAGCATTTACATGGCAGCGTCTCACACCAAACAATCGATTCCTTGTACCAACGCCTGTTCGAATAGTCCTTGTCAAAGGGAATGTTGTGCCGTCTGAGAAATATTGTTTTTATTATTGTTGTTAGTTTGTTTTTCTTGTTGTGGCCCTTAATGCTGTTTTTGTAAACTTTCTTGCTAGCATGTTTTTGGCAAAAAATCCCTATCAGTATGTGGTTGCGAATGATGTTCCACTAGAAAATCAATGAAATCTAAATGCAAATTTATTTATGTGCCTTCATTGTAAATGCGACATGTGCACAAACAAACACTCAGGACGTAGGACACAGGACGGAGGACGGAGGACGCAGGGCGAAGTACGAAGTACGAAGGACTTAAAATAATGGCGGAACAAATTTGATTTGAAGGCGTTCAAGATTAATTTCAATATTTAGGACGAGCGTCTTAAATGTTTAAATTAATTGAGTGTTAATTACTTTGAGATGGTGTTTGGTTTGGTTTTTCGTGGCTTATGGAAGATCTAATTGATTTTGATAGAGTTCTCAAATGGATGCACATTTGAGAGAAAAATACATTTAACTTCCATAATATATGAAGTATACATATTTGTACTTAAATTTAATGAATCTTTTAAATTAAATTGATAATAAAAATTGAATATTACATTCTGGAATAAATATCTATCGTTCTTACATATAAAGTTAAGATGCTCGTTTATATGTATGCAATAGAAAAACTATCTACAGTGTCAACGTATATATATATATCTAATTCTATGATAAAGATTAAATTTTTATTCAGTTTTTTAATTACAATATCTTCATAATTCTAAGTAGAAGGTGTGACCGGTTACTTTTGTCATGGACAAATACATAAAATTGCATTAACTTTCACTAAACACTAAACTACTTCTCCCTATTCTTCTAAATCACTATTATAACTTTAGTTTTATATTGTTGGGCCGAAGTGCTAACTGACATTTTGCCTCACAAAACTTTAAACCTAATTTGTATATGTTAAATAGTTCCTAACCTCTTTAAAAGAAGAACTAATGTATATTCCTTTAAAATTGCAATCAACGAAAAGCATTAATAACTTTTTATATCTTCGTTTGGGACGATTAACGAAACGACTTCAATATGTTGAAGATCGTTTCTTTACTGATCTGCCAGAAATAATGAAAATAGACTTATTAGATCCACTTAACTTCATCTAGAAGACCATATGGTTTAGCAAGGATAACATATGGAGATGACTGTGGTTAGTGTAAATCACCTCTGGCAAGAAACACAAAGGGTAATGCCGCTGAGTGGAAGTGGTAACAGTTAGGCATCCATCTAATATAATCTACTTACTTATACACCTAAGTAGCTATAGCAATCCGTTGTTCCTTATATTTTTTTATACGGTTACCACTTTAAAAACTTTTTTGCGGGAACGTTGTCTTTTCTCCACACACTCTAACCAATCAAGTGGAATCAATGTATGTTAATTAACTGACCAATGTCAATATCGTGATTATCCTTGTACCCAAATAGCTCATCATTCGTATACGGTAAGCGTCATGAAGTCGCGCAAATTTAAAAAAATTTTAAAAATAAATTACATTTTTTCTACTTTGCATAAATGTACACATACTACGACCAACAAAACTGAATCGACATAAGTTTATAGCAGCAACATTCATCGACTACTGTAGCATCCATTTATAAAGTTATGAAGTTACAAAGTGCTTCTTTACAGCGCTTTATTTTACAAGGTATTTCACATATGTGGTTGTTAAAGTTCTTGCTCTTTAGACATCATTCTTATTAATATTATAATGTATCTGGTAGATACATTATAGGTACACCAATTAATTATAATTATTTGAGTTTCTCATCTGAGATTTGGGACCTAAGACCAGATTAATTTTAAAACTTATAAAAAAGTAAATTTAAATATAGTATAACTACTTTTATTACTCATATTACTCATATTTATTTTAAGAATTTTTTCGAACTTATTGGGCTTAAATTGTAATTAATGATTGGAAACAATACCTCATTAAGAGGTACTGATTTCTGGTCATTAAACAAATATTTGTTTATTTTTTTATTAAATTTTAGATTTTCAAACCATAATTATTTATTAAAATTAATTAAATTTATTAGTGTATTTAAAACACAATCATTTGGTTTCGTTTCGAATTCTGTTGGCGTTATTATTTGTTTGATAATCCCAAAATTCAATATATTCCGCGAGCATTAAAGTTTAGTTTGTTATAGGATATTTATTTTTATTTTTATATCCTTTCGAATACATTAAATTTTATTCAAATATATTTCGCAATGCAGCGCTCACATTTATTTTAATAATGTGCGTGCTCAACTGAATTAATCGAAATCCGATCAAATCAAATCAAAAGATTTCATTTCCATAAAATACAAAACTCCATATCCTCTTACGAGTATACGAATATACGAATATACGAGTGGGTATAGGATATTATTAATAATACATTTATATTATATTTATTTGTATACACAATACCATCAATACATAAATATGTTATTTTTTTCTCTTTGCAACAATAGGTTCAGCAAAGCAACTGGCAAATACGGAACTCTCTAATGGCATCGTGCAAGATGACCCCGAGATAATCGCGCAGCAAACTGATAAAGTTGATATCCTTTTGCATTGTATTAAATCATCGACACGAGATGCCGCCTGGATTTATGGACAAGTGTTGTGCCAAATTATACGTGATTTAGTGCCACCAAATGAAATATTGACGAAGGTCATAAAGGAGTTTTTAGCTATAAATCAACCGCATTGTGATGTTATTGCCATGGTTGTATATCAGGTGAGTTACTATTTTGTAGTTTGGCTGCTTGCCTGCGTAAATCGTCCCAACTGCTGAGTGGAGCGTTGGCGAAGTAAAAGTTGAATGTCTCTCGAGTCTGTCTTATAACTGCGAGTGTGTCTGTTTATTAGTTAGTTGCAACAAAAATGTTAATATCTATGTGAGAATATAACGTTCAAATCTGTCTGTCCGTTTGTCAATTGGCTTATAGAAAAACCGCATAATATCGCATAACCAGCTACTTTACAGTTGCTTTGTCTATCTTATAGCGTATAGCGTATAGCGTATCCTTCACATATATGGCATGAACATATAACCATTTTCCTACTCTTAATAAACCTTTTTCATACTATACACATACTTCATATATAAATATATAAGTGCTTGTATGTAGCACTTAGTAGCTGTATCTGTGTGTATGTTTGTGTGTTGGCTTAATATTGAAAGGGTAGCAGGCAGGGTGGCATTATAAATGTTTGCTTGCCTGCCATTTTAGGTATCTGTGTTTAAGTTCTCCACTCATATCTGTGCGTTCTTTATCTTTTGTACGTAAGTGTATATAAAATTTGGCAACCGCAAAATTAATGGTTATCATGAGTGTGTTAAAAGTATGTGGGTCAACCGTATTAAGGCGTAACAGAACGCCTGAAGTGTGACTATAAAATTTTTCTTTTTCATTAAGCTGCTAAACGGTTCAAGGTTCAAGGTTATAAATTATAAATGAGATTGTATGTACGTATGCATGTGTATGTCTGTTTGTAAATTTATTTGATTTCGGCTAGATACTTAGGAAACTAGAATAACATTTAGAAACATTATAAATTTTTAATTTTATAGTGAAAAATTATTCCAGCAAAAAAAGTTCACATATTCTCCTCACCGTCTGTTTGCAAACTTGACATCCTTCGTTATTATTAAAATTCTATATTGTCTCGTTTTGTTTTTTCTAAGATTAAGGCTTTAGTAATTGTTTACCTAAATCATTTATTAAAATTTAAACTTATTCATTTGCGTTCTTCTTTTTCTTTTGCGTTACGCTCTAACAGGTTTTCCGATGTGCTATCGATTCAGCATTCCTACAAATGTTGCAAGACTGGCTCATATGTTCGCTGCCAACTTTCTTGGCGTTACCTGAACAAAAAGGTGTCTGGGGTCTATGCGTCATCTTTTTATCCGCTTCAATAAATCTACATTTGATTAAACTATTTCCGGTGGTGCTTGGTGCAAAGGAATTTCGTAAATTGGGTCAACATGAGATTGCATTGTTCGTGACAGCTGCACAAGATTTCTTTGCCGGATTGAGCAACGAGCAAAAGTTGCGCTTCTTGGATGCCTTCAAAAAGTTTGAACAAAATCAAGTTTATGCAAAAATGTTGCGTAGCTTGTAAGAAGTGAAGCTGAAATGAGAATAGTTGACTGTGGCTGTGGCAGTGGATGTGGCAGAGCTGTGGCAGTGGCTGTGGTTGCAAAACTGAAATTACAATTGGAATTGGAGTGGAAATGAGCTGGAACTTTTGCTGCTGCCAAAAATATTTTAACAAATTATGATTAATTGAAATGCAACCGCATTGTAATCGTTTTTAATTATTCAACAAAATTGAAATTGGATAGAAAGTTTAAAAATTTAACAGTATTTTTAGTTAAAACTTAAGAAAAATAAGTATGTATGTTTATCATACATACATCAATCAGTACACATTAAGTAGCAAGTAGAAAAAATTCGGAAAATGTTAAATTTCTACTGAAATAAATATTGCGAAAATTTAAAAGATAAATGAAATGCGAGAGCAGAAGCGTATCTGTGACCAAAAGTAGCAGTATCCGTATGACCATGACCAAATAAAGTGCAACTTTATAGCAAATTTCGATTCATTTAGCTGCAGTAGTAAAATATATTTATATAGTGCTAAAATGAAGAAAATGAATCTTATAATCTGCACAGGACAGGCGGGGTGACTACGAAAGAAAACTACCAAACCATTAATATTCTTCCTCTATGCGTCGTATAGAAACTCATCCTCATAGCTGTTAGAAAAGAATTTATTTGAAAAACTCAAAGTGCACATGATGTGATTGGATACTATTTAGATAGATATTTATATTAAAACTTATCCATATAATTTATACTTACAATGCATATATATATGTATATATATTTATACAGTTTATTTTTGTTGTAATGTAAATAGCTTCCAGCTAGAGTTATATCTGTCTTTCAAATGTATTTACTATTGTTTAATATATATTTATTACAATGCAGAAATTATTTATAAAATTATTCTATGGTAAAACCAACAGAAAAGGTAACGAAAAGCTCAAAAATTTGTAATGATTGTAATATTTGTGGATTATTTAAACTTCACTGTTTATGTTAATTATTATTATTAGTGCTTAAACTATTCGAATATTGCAATGTTTGAAAATTTGAAACGAATACTTCAATAAGTTGTCTCTTGGCAATTCCTAACGTCAGTAACCTTAAGAACCTCCCATATTCAACTGATTCGGCATAGTTGGACTTGTTTTTGGAAAAATATATTTAAAAAAGATCTATAATTGCATCCTAAAGAACATTTCGTTAGACCAATTAGATATGAAATCCGATACTAATAAAAACACCATATATTATTATTATTATTATTTATAAAAAGTTCTGACTACTTTGAAACTCTTTTAGTATATAATATATTGTTTTAAATTTTTTTTATGGTTTTAAATAAAAGATAATGCAATTATACACAGAAAAATTCACACAGCATAGTCAGATTATTAATAATTTATTAATCAATATAATATTGTATTTAATAATTAATTATTCTAATGTTTAAATTTTTAAACTTTGTAAAAATAGTAGTCTAATGTTCAAAAATAACTCAGAATATATAGTAAAATATTACTAAGCTTGATTATTTCTTGAACATAAGCTTATATTATATTATAGTACTAACCTTAAGATTATATAAAGCCATTAATGTCCTGAACGTAGTTTAGTAAAATGCGATGTGATGAGTTAGATTGGAACATATAGGCTTATATAGCTTAATATTTAAAACCAGATGAAATTATATATGTTCAGAAATTTTTTTAGATACATACTGTTTGTTAATGGAATATTGTGTTTTTAATAAAAATGTTTATTAAAAACTATTCAATAAGAGAGTCTATAATATTTCACTTTATTTCTTGTCGAAAAAAGCTCTATAATAAATTAAATATAATAATAAACCATTAATTAATTTATACCATTATATCATACTTTTAGTAAATGCATTATCATTAAATACAATATATAAATCACTAATTTTTTACCAAATTGATGTCTTTATTCAACTACATATTACTTAGATAAAAAGATGATAATACCTAAAAATTATATAGCGTATATTTTTTTATACATTTCCAAATTTATAATTTTTATAATTGTAATTGTATTATTTGTTCTAAAAAATTATTTTATTATATTAAAATTTATTACTCTTTTATATATAATTATTAAAAATTTTTAAATCTAGAAAAATATCACTATATTTTCCTTTTTCACATAAATTATAGTTTTAATTTTTTTTATTAAATTGTATCACATTTTTTACTAATTAATGTTAATAATAATTAATTCATATATTGATTGTTTATATAAACAAATTTTATTTCATAATTATTTGTTCACACAATAAAAATTAAAAATTTTGTTTAAAATTATGAAAGTTTGGATTTTATAAGAAATAAAAGTTTATAAAATTAAAAACTTTGTGGATTTAAAAAACAAATAAAATTTTCAGAAAATAAGAGCTTATTATTCAGTTATACAATACACGTCTTCAATACACTCTAGCACTGTAGCTAGTGCTCAACTTTATTAAAATACGATATAAGAAAATATATTCAAAGTGCTAGCTAACAGCACAAAAAAATCATAAAATGGTTAGAATATAAAAGAATGCTGGCTACCTGCAATGATATCATGGAATGAAAACAAATATATTAATATAAAAAATCTACTCGAAATTTTCAATATTAAAATTATTAATTATTGCAATTCAGGATTTCTACTAACTTTTTGTGTTAGCTGTCGGTGATTTCTCTCCATTCGATCGATCAGTGTTTTTTTTTATAGTCTCAAATATCTGATCTGATGGCTCAAAAACTCGGTCGTATTAAAATTTTACAACAAATATTTATAAAATTTTATAACTTTCCAGAATTACTGAGTCTCTGGGTCTCTTTGAGTCTCTGAATTTATTTTAGTTATTCTCATTTATGAAATTTTCTCACTTTCCAGAGTATCCACGGCTGAATAGCCCTATTAAAATTATTACAGTTATTTTTATCTCTATTATGTACTTATATAGCTAAACTATATGCTGTGCTTATGTATTGATATATATGAAATTATAAGTTACATATTAAGATACTGTTATTCAAAGCAGTGTTTTTCAATCGTAGTGCTTATCCAGTGGTATCCAATATTTTCAACAGCTGGCATCCAATATCTTTTCAAAGAAGAAACCGTTAAAGACCGAAAAACATTATATTTTTTCAGACCGACAGTGATTAGGACAAGAAACCCTAATTTAAACAATTCTAGTTATTATTAAAAATTTTATTTTAAGCAAATTCAATTAAGGAGTTAATAAGTGGAAAGAATGGGCACAAATAATGTATTTCAGTTGTACGAAATTAGTTATGTTGTAGGTTTAATTTGTAGTTACCTTAATTAAATAAATATTTTACTATAAAATTAAATGAATGTTTAAATGTTAACATTAAAAATTAATATATATATATATATATATGAAATATTTACTAAAATATGTTAAAAAAATATTACACAACAAAATGTAATTTGAAATTAATTATAAAATATATTTATTTTTTTGAATTCTCATCTGTTAAATTCTGGTTGAAGTACTCGTATGTAGATATATGTAAATGGTATGAGATATATATGTTAAATATATGTACAAATATATATATTGTATATGCACATTATGTTAAAGCATGAATGCAAATATATATATGTATATAGTACGGGAAAGCATACAAATGCCAAATGCCTGAGTAAATGTTAAATATTTTTCACTAATGAAACTAAAATAATTTAATTCGGAATTTCAACTGCATTAAAGATTAATATTGAAAAGTGAGTTAAATTGTTTATAATTTCTTTCTGAATACCGCGTTGTTGCATTTATAATTTATTTAAAACTTTTACCGTGTATGATAATTTGTTGCAACATCGTTGTGTGTGTGCGTGTGGGTGTGTGTGCATATGTGTTTTATTGCTGTAAGCAAATCACGGGGAAAAAAAGCACAAATATACATAAAAATTTGCGTTGCGTATTTAGTCGATTTTATATGCTTAAATTGTCGTTTAACTGAAATAAATTGTATTTTATTTAAATTTAAATAAACTAAATAAACAACAAATAACAGTTGCAACAGTAAATTCAATTTGTTAGTTTAGTCTGTCAGTTTGTTTATTGGTTGCTTATTAGCTTCGACACACACCGAGCGACTGAAATTATTTTTAACTAATTTTTTTAAACTGTTAGTACAGTTTTTAGCTATTTTGATTAGGCGCTCAGCACTTGAAGCTGGGGAATATGGAAAGCGAAAAAAGCAACTTAAATGCTGCTGCACAGAAATGTACGACGGCGCAAATTGCTTTTGTTTTTATACTTTTTCGGTATTAATTTATCGTTGGTTGCAGTCGTCGACATAAAAAGATTGTTTTATGTTAGCTCAGCAGCGCAGTTCATTTTTTATATTAGATTTTTCTGTTCTAATCGCAATCTGCACAATTAAAATGACAAAGTCGAGCAGAAAAAAATTCTTCAAATTGAAATACGTATGAAATTTTTTTTTGTATAACACAAGCGCTTAAAAGTATACTACATATACAATAGAAATATTTAGTTTTGCGCAGCTTTGTGCTGATTCAATGTATCGATGCATTCATTTATTTGTCATTACAAGCGTGAATCAAGTTCAGCCTAAAAAGATGCAATGTTTTCTGCAATTGTGCAATTACTCAACAGAATTAAATTTGTTGCTTTCTTATGTTGTTTTTTTTGTTTTGTCGTGTCACATTCAACACAAGTTCGCAAAATGGAAAACCGATGTAGCGACTTAACATATGAGCGGCGAAATTTAAGTTCGAATGCGGTCTGCTAGCGTTTATGTTCGCCTGGTAGAAATGCACGTTTTTATAAAACTGGTATAGTTTGTCATAACAGTAGGTTGGTTGGTTGGTTGGCAGTTACTCACTCTATATGTACCCGACTCACGTAACGATTTCGGAATAAATCAGCAAATAAACAGAAACAAAAGCCAAGCAAACATTACGCAAATTTCTGCATAAGTCAAAATAACGTGCTTCATTAATTTAGCGTTTCGAAGAGCGCTTTCAGTTGTACGGAATATTTTTTTTTTATATTTTTTTTATTGCTGTAGATACATTTTAACTTTGGCTTATTTGCTAAGTACTGATATTTACTAACTCATTGAAATAAGAATTGAAGTAAAAATAAAAGTAATACAAAAAGCCAGTTCAAGTTTTCGAATGCGACACTTTAACATGACATAATATTATACCATATATGCATTTTCATTGATAAAATTATTTAAAAATAACATATATACGATATGTATATATATCAACTGTATTTATAGTTTCATCTTATTGCAAAAAATTATAATTAGTCACTATGACATTACCTACCAAATAATTAGAAGTCGAAAACGATAATTATACGGCCCTAGATATGAACCTTATATAAGAAAGCTCACACAAATTTAAATGGATTTGAATTTATCCAGTAATATGAAGCACCCAGTTATATGACCCGCTTCCACTCAGCTACAGTGGCGGAATATGTACTTAACAACATCGTTAGGTTGCAAGAGGTTTTAGGCATATTTCCGACACCTACTTATCTACGGTAGCCACCTAGTCATGTTGATCTGGTATATGAACTTAACAAATTCATAAGGTATATATATGATATCTACTAGTCCTAGGCAGCAACCTTGCCTTAATGATTTGGAGTATAAACTTAACGATGTCATGTATTTGCAGGTGGTTCTAGGTATGTCTCTGACATCTACTGATCTACTGTGGCCATCGTTTAAAACTGATCTGAAATATGAACCAAACAATCTTGTGAAGTTGCAAAATATCGAAAATAGATGTTGGGCATCCACTCACCTACGATGACCACCTAGCCATGTTGATATGTAATATGAACAAAATTGTAGGGTTGAAAAAGGCCCCAAGTATGTATCTAGAATGAATTCAATTATTTGGAATATAAACTTTACAATGTCATGAGTTTACAGGTGGTCCTAGGTACACATAATATTCGATATTTAGTTATTTAATATAGCTACTTTATAATACTGATTTGGAATATAAACTTAACAATATTGCAGGATTGAAGAAGATTCCAGGTCCTCGGCAGCAACCCTATTTTAATTATTTGAAATATAAACTTTACGATGTCATGAGTTTACAGGTGGTCCTAGGTATGTGCCCAACATCCACTTATCTACGGTGGCCATATTTTAATACTCATCTGGAATATGAACTTAACAATGTTGTAAGGTTGCAAAATATCGAAAATAGATGAGTGGAATCTCTCCTCTACGAAGGTCATCTTCTCAAATT